AATTACTACAGAAATTTATTTTCAAAAAAATGAAAACGTACATTTTTTTATTAAATTAATATAAAATTAATGGAATTTAAAATTAGAAAAAAAAATAAACAATAAATAAAATTTTAAAATAGTGATAATTTTATTGTTTGCCCCCATTATTTTATCTTTATCCTACCTAATTTTCTTAATACATGATCATCTTAATGAAACTGACCAAAGACAACCTTCGCTTCTCCTAAATTGTCACCATACTGCTGGAATGACATGATTATCAACAAATATTGTTGTGCCATCAAGGAAATTTCCTAAATGGAAAATTTTAACATTTCTTAAAAACTTACTTATGATGGTTAGGTAATATTTTATACTTATATATAGGGAAATAAAGGTTTTTACTCTTTTTCCATATTTAAACTGTGCATTCTGTCATAACTGAGATGAATATAATTGTAAATTATTTCTTAAAACATTATTGAAAATACCAGCTTAGTAGTTCTGTATATGAAAGTATTTTCTTTTATAGAGATGAAACAAAATGGATAAAAAAAACTGTTGAACAGCAGCAACAATCAAAAGCAGCAAAACATGTTCTGTTCCAAACTTAATACATATATATAATTTCTTTAATGATTTTCAGGGACAAGGGAGGTAAATAAAGCATTATACCCAGCTAGAGTTATGAGAGTACCAAAAAATCAGAAACAAAAGCAAATTACCAAATATGATAACCAGAATTGTGCTCAAACTTATTAAATTTACTTAAATTTAGGGCAATTCAATTGTCTCCAATTAATTCTGAGGCTAATATTGTGATTGGAGAGAAACACAAAACTCAATTTTAATTTTATTTATTTATCAAATAACATTGAGTACTGTTTACAAAGGAAAATAAATTAGCCACTTTCAGTGATTAAAAGACATGAAAGTCTAAGTGCATAATAAAATTAAATTAATATAATTAAATATTAAATTAATACAATTAATATAATTAAACACAATATGTGTGTGTGTATATGTGTGTCTTCTAAGAACTCACAAACAAGACAAATTCTGTTCATATATCTATGGATTAAAGACTCATTAACCTTCTAAAAGTATGTGAGATTAACTCAGGTTTATGAATAACAAATACAAACTGATTGCTTCAATACAAAGCAAAAACATATTCAGAGGGACTTATATTCATTCTCATAGAAAAAGATGAGTGAAAATAAAAATAGATAATAAAAAGTTAATTTTTTAATTTTTTTTTTTAATTATAAGTCCCGTCTGGACATGGGCGAACATGGCTGGCTTCCTATAGATCACTTTCCTTTATTCTCTGAATTCCTATGCCCTCTTTGGAAAGACAATGGTCTTCACTATGGTTTTAATTCAGGAGTTGTCATTCTAAACTGGTTGCCATCCAAGGCTAAAGAGACATCAATTAAACTCATAGCTGGGGGAGAAGAGATGGATTAATACTAATCCCAAATACATTAGTAGTGTGAAGTGAACCCAACAGATTATGTTGGAATTTGAACTCAGCACACTAATTTCACTTTCCTTTCTGACAACTGATACACTGCCTACACATCCATATGACATGTAGTAAATGAAATAAATAATATATATATAAAAAAAAAAAAAAAAGGATTAGGCAGCAAAAAAGACTCAAAACCAGTACGTACATTTATCTCATCTCTTATAATCCACTAATAAAGATGTAAGTGATAGAGTACACGTTAGCTATTCTAAGTTATATTATCTTGAATTTTATTATTAAAATACTGTCATATTATAAAAGAGTTGATTCTCTGTCCATCACATACTGACTGAATATGACTTTACATGCACATATGTAATGTATATACAAATGTAGGTGTTGCATTTGAGTGACTTACATGTGCTTGTTTCATTTAAATTAATGTACATGCACACATATACAAACACAATTTGACAGAGTTTGAAATAAAACATTGGAATACATTCCTCTCCCACTCAGTTTTGATATACCCCCTTCATATGAGCACTAAAATCAAAGTTGATGAAAAAAAAAATTATATAACAGATTTTATTGAACTTTACAAAAACCATTCAGCAATAAATAGAATTATTGTTCAAATACTTAAAAAGAGAAATTTGTAGAAATATATATATATATATATATATATATATATATATATAGCCTTTGAATTATATTATACATGCATACATACAAACAGATACTGTATATGTATCTATGTATTGAAGCTAATTTGACAACAGTAAATGGATATATAATTTGGTCAATGGCATAGCTAGCAGTAATTTTATATTAACCCCCTTAAAATTAGCTTCAAAATTAAAAAAATTAAATTTAAAATCCATCTTCAAAGCACATGATAAATTTTATATATGATATATATGCACAAAATTTAAATCAAATTGAAACAGACATCTATGTTGTAAGGGCAACAACTCATGGGTAACAGGATAAGAATATAAATAAATATATAGCCATTTGAAACCATTATGACTCCTTTTCTATAAATGGAATATATCTTCTAATAAATTTAGTATTTTAATTTAATTTAGATTTGAAATTTAATAATCTTGCTATCAGTGAAACAATTGGTACAGAAGCAGATTTTATTAATGCACAAATTATCAATGCACAACTGTTAGTAAACTGTCCATTTATTCTCAGGTGCTTTTCAACTTAACTACAAAAGCTAATGGTGACAAAAAGATCAAATCTAATCACATCACTTTACTCTTTATTTCTTCCCACTGATTGCTTGCTACTAATATCTTTACATTTTGTTGACTTACAATAGTAATATTATCATGAATTTTTATTAGATGAAATAGTGTCAACTTTTATCAATTTTTGATTATTACTGGTTTTGTTTTAATTTCAGTTGCTTTTTATTGAAATTACTTGGACTGTCAATCTATAGGTGTTTATAAAGAATGTAGATAGAAAATAAATTATAATTGTGCACCCTGAACATCCAATTTAAACCTCAGAATTAATCAGATGACAACTGCAAGGTTGCTATTTTAACTGTTTATAAGCTTATATAAAAGTTTTACCGAATCAAAGCTATGTCAGATGCACGTTGCTTTCTCTCAGATTCAGGAATTGGATGCCATACAAATAAAAGCCTCCAATCAAAGCCACCCACAAAGGAAGTGCTTGTGGCACCATATGACAATGTCATATAATTAATCATGTCAATTATTGGACACAGGACTGCTTGATGACTGATTTTAATAGAAGCAAGTAATGGTTCTATCCTGTAAAATAATACATTTAGTAATGAGAAAGCATTCCCAAATCAGCATTTTTTTTTATGATAACAAAAAGCAGAAACAACATGGTAACTTTATATGGAATCTAAAGAATGACTGAAACTAAAATATTTAGCTGTATATATATTTAGTGATTTAGGTGAATATCAACTATTTCCAGTCTAAATTTCAAATATGTGACATATCCAACATTACTAGTACAGGGTAATAAATAAAAAGTACATACATTGAATAATAAAAGTATATTTATAAATAATATTTTCTCACATGTCAGAATGAAAAACAAATCTGCATGTTCTTTCTTTGTTTTTTTTTTATTATTATGAAAGCCATTAGTTTCCATTTGATTTTAAATTAGCCTATATTGAGTAGATCTGTCATTCTCTCTATAAGTTCATTAACTGCAGTGCATTTTCATTGTTTTTGCAATGGTGATATTAAGTCTGGTCACAAAGTGACCAAAGATATTAAACCAGTTGAAATCTTGAAACACCTTGAACACAGTGGTAGCATAACAAATCTAAGCCACATTTTCAATTTAATAAATATCAGTCCGATAAGGAGAGAAAAGGATCCAATAAGAAAAAATTAATTGAGAGTGCACTGATCTCTGAGTTTCTGACAATAAACTTAAGACTAGTCTCATACACAATATCACCAATCATTGCAAAAACATTGGCACAATGCAGTATATGATCACATAGAGGGAATAACAAAGATCTATTCATAATGTGCTAATTTCAGATTCAACAGAAATTAGTGACTGCAATAATTAAAAAAAAAAAAAAAAAAAAAAAAAAAAAGGGACATGCACATTTATTCTTTCATTCCAACCAGAGCACACCAACCTAGCAAACAGACATTAATGGTTTTAATATAAAAGACAGTTTTTTTTTGTCTTTCATTCTGATCTTAAGATGGATGTCTACATAAGACACAAAGGTGTCATTGTCAAGAAAAAACTTTTCCACTTTGTCTCGTTTCTCATATATATATCTTAGTCCTTCTAATCTTAACACTTTATGTTAAAGGCGGAAAGGAATTATAGCCAGGTCTTACCTAATTTAAATAAAGTTTAATTATGAAAATTAAATCTTTAAAATTTTAAGAACCTAATTCATACTATGGAAATTAATTAGCTATTTTGTTTTGATACTACATGATTAGAAATTAGTAATCAAACAGTATATTTTAACAGCAATTATATGCATTTTGCTGAAGAAAAAAAAAAGAGAACAGTTAGAGAAAGTCTCAACATCTTATATAAAACTGTAAGTCTGAAAATAGAAAAGGTTATTTTGCTTAAAAGAGGGTCAAAAGAAACAAATACCTTAAAAAGAAGAAAAACATTGGCCTTATTTCCTTTTTGAGTGAAAAAAAAAGAAAAAAGAAAAAAAAAGAAAACAGAATGACCAATTCCATCTCTGCTTCCCTACCCTCTTTCATTCGGTCTTCAAATGTCAATTTACCTGTAGAAAAGAAAAATCTGTACTATACTGAGTACTAATGGTGGTTAGGATTAGGGTTAGAAGGTATACAACCATTGGGTGCAGGCTGGAAGTGTAGGCATCAAGCAAAGGTAGTGAGGGTAAGCATATCAATAATTGAACCAAGTGTATAACGATCCAGTCTGTTGACAATCATGTTACCTAATCAAATCTATGTCAGATTTTCGCCTTTTTTGTTCATGGTCTGGGATAGGTCGCCAAGTGAAATGTAGACTCCACCAGAACCCCCCCACAGAAAAGCTCCCTGTGGCACCATAATTCAGGGTTTCTTGATCAATGTTGTCAATCTCAGGGCAAAGTGCTGCTTTCGGATCCTCTTTGATACGAGCCAAAAGAGGCTGAAGCCTGTGAAATAGAGAGTTGCATTGAAAGGGCATGACACAGTTCTACAAGAGCAGCCATGTATGATTTACTACTTTATTCTTTTCCTACAATTTTCCTTCTTTTGCAAATTATAGATTTTGACATTATAGAATTTGAAAATTCATAAAAAAATCTAAATTAGGCTATAAGCTTCAATACACACAAGTTTCCCCAAACTCTTACAAACTATATGATATAGACAAAAAGAGTGTGTGCATATATATATATATATATATATATATATATATAAATAGTGATTACAACAAAAGATAAGGACAATAGTCTACATGTATATAATATAAATACATATTAGCAGTAATGATTTTTAGCTTTTTTTTAAATAGTTGTTTTTGACAATGATCATTTGTAATATCACATTTTTACACCCCTATCTCTTTCCTTTACATGCAAAAATATTACAAAATAAAATCAACTATTGGATAGTTATTTATTTAAATTATTATTTATTGTAAATTTAAACTAAATCATTAAAGTTAGAAATTGTCAGTTATTTTAATGTTAACTCAATTCACTGTATAATTCATTTACTAAATGTTTATTTCTCTGCCACATGTCATGATTAATATTACATTTACAAGTTCAAGATTACACAATTTATATACCACTTTCTTTCCTTGTTTGGTAACTGACACATTAAAAAAATAGTTCAATATGTTCAGTGCTTGTCACAAGAACTGGGTATAAATTAACATTTTGATTCATATTTCTAAAAATTATACCTGCTTAATCATAATATATTCTAAAAAATAATAAAAAAGAGAACATTTAAATAGTTTTACTTCTCACAAAAGATTTTTCAGTTAAATAAAAAAAATTACTTTGATCAAATTGTAAATATCTAAAGACTATAAAAATTATTCCATTGACATTAAAAAATAATCACAAAGTAAATATTTGTTTACTGTATTTTAAGATAATCAAGGTAACCAATTTGATGGGCAGGTAGAATATCAGCAATCTAGTTGTATAGTAAATTAGACAAAATTATGAGATTTTAAATAGAGCCAGTTTATTTGTGCTTGAATTGACAGCCAGTCTTCAAAGAAAAACAAGCAGTAACAAGATATTAACCTTACAATCTTCCCCTGCCCAACATAACTAAAAATTATAAAAAGGTAGACTTTATAAGTAGCTTTCATCAGAAACATTCAAAACTTAATTCATTTTTTGAAATCAGTTTTATTGAAAAATGGAGCAGAAAACTTTACTTTTTCCTCCAATCAATAACCAAATACATTCCCTCCCACCACCACCACCACCACCACCAAAGATATTTTATGTCCACCTTCCTAGCGAAATAATTCTGATTCTACTAAATTTGATGCCATATTTTCAATAGATTTTTAATTTGGATTTTCATTTGGCCAAGCCAGAATTTTAATTTTCTTTTCAGTCATCACCTTGTGAAGTTAAATTGCAACCTAAATAAAAGGTTCATAACTGAATCAAGAGATTCTCCTCAAGAATTTGGCAACACAGCAGTGTTTATTATTCTTTTTTATGATGACAGTCAGGAGGAAGATAAGCACCCTCAAAGCATCACAATACAGGTGAGGAGAGTCATTTCTCAACCACATATTTCATTTTGAGTTTGAACCAAATAATTCTGCTTTAGTTTCATTTGATGATAATAACTTCAAATCCCATGCTACCCGAGTCAGTGATGTGTGCTTTTAGAAAAAACAGTTACATGTCATTTTGCTTAATTTTAGCAATGTTTTCTTTTGAAGCATCTTCCTTTTCATGTTTTATTTCTCTCCATTTTAATTTCAACCACAATTAGTTAACATTGAAAATAGAAATATTTAACAGAGTTCAAATTTCAATTAAAACAGTTTTCATTCACTTGACACTATTGACCTTGAGAAAAGCAAGAATCCATCACTTGGTTATGATTCCATGGAAAGGCAGACTGAGCTGTCTAGAAATACAATTCTGAACTCAATGTGTGTGGAACTAAAACCTCCTCCCAATAAAATCCTACTAGGTACCAAAACTATAGATTTGAATTTTGACCCCCCACCCAACCAGAAAATGCAACTCTTTCAATTAAAGATGAATTGACAACATTGAAAAGTGCAACTCTTTCAATTAAAGATGAATTGACAACATTGAAAAGTGCAACTCTTTCAATTAAAGATGAATTGACAACATTGAAAAAGTGCAACTCTTTCAATTAAAGATGAATTGACAACATTGAAAAGTGCAACTCTTTCAATTAAAGATGAATTGACAACATTGAAAAGTGCAACTCTTTCAATTAAAGATGAATTGACAACATTGAAAAGTGCAACTCTTTCAATTAAAGATGAATTGACAACATTGAAAAGTGCAACTCTTTCAATTAAAGATGAATTGACAACATTGTCTCTGACAAGTTTTAGTCTTGGAAATAATTTTGTTTGGATGCTGATAAAAATGAACAAGGTGTTAGGTAACACTAAAGAAATATCTGTTTGTACTGTGTTCAAAGACAACTCCAAGACTTTGAAAATGTGTTTATAGCCACTTCTTTTAATGTGATTTTTATTATAACCTTATCTCTGTCTAATAGAGGCAATATCTATCCCAGTTTTGTCACAAACAAAACTGATGACTCTAATCATACACAAGTGAGAATGAAAGCTTGCAGTAGTTAGAAGAAATTGTTAGAGCTGTTGTTAACACACTGGCTACCAACCACAAGATAAGTCATAGTTGGCAGTTTCTATTATGATACCAATTACAAATTATTTCATACTTGGCATTTTCCATACATTTTCATCTGGGGACATGAACAATGAGTTTATTCTTGTATAGACTTTTAGTGTGAAAACAATGTTAAGACTTAAGTTAAAGCTATAAATCAACTCATAAAATATTTTATTGCTTATGTTAGCTATTAAAAAGTTGGCATTTAAAGTCAGATTTTATGACTACTGGAAGTCACTGTGTTTAAAAGAGAAAAATAAAATTTACTTGGAAAATTTTACAATTTGAAAATACTTTGGTAAATAGAATAGAGACCCAATAAAAAGCAAAAGCCATTTCCAATGAAAATAACTCACTCATGCTTTTTTATCATTGCAAAGAAGTTTTAAAGTAATAATGTGTTTTAGTTGATTCAAAACTAGCCATTTGAGAAAGATTTGTGACAAGTTTTTCACAGTTGAGGAGTATATCAACCTTTGTAACCTACTGTATATATCTTTTTTCACATTTCCTTTGATCTGTAAACATCAAGATCCAATTTAATATTATTCTATATTTACCAATTTATAAAAAGTTTTGTGCTTTCAAGAAAAATTTTGAATAAAAAGGAAATTTAGAATGATTTTAATTTTCACTTACCTGTATGGATTCAAGGTTGTTTAACAGACTTCATAATTTATATAAAATTTATTAAGGTTACTTTAAAGCTTACTTCATCTTCCATGCTGATAATTAATATCAATATATAGATATTGATTATTGAATGATAAAGAAAAAAACTGTAACCTTGCTATAGTCATTTACTGGTTTCTCAAAAGATTTCAATGAAAGAGAGTCAATATTGTTTCATGAAGCACAATATAAATTATTTTAGAAAAAAACTACAATATAATCTTTATTTTGATATTTTGGTCAAGTTTTTTTATTTTTATATAAATACTACTTTGTGTATCAACTTCTTAAACACATTCAATTTTGACCTAAGACAGGATACCCATTTGAAACAAACTGGTTATTAATGGTTTGTAAGATAAGCATCCTAATCACTGTTCTCATATAGATTTTATTATGTAACATTATTTTTATTATATTTATTAATGGCATGAAAATAGTTGTTCACATTTAACTTTGAAAATGTTTGAAAAGGCAATTTAGAATTAGAGCCATGGTAGAAATAACTTTATCAATGCTAGGGAGTGTGGTTGAAAAAAACGAATAAGTAAACAGTGACATTTTTAGAATTTCACAAATGAGTGTCACATTATCAAGTTGGCCTTGCATTGATAGGTAGAAATTCTAATTTCCCAAAACATTTCAATTGCTTATCAATTAAAATAGTAATAGTGAGACTAGCAGTTTTCTTATATGGAAACCTTCAACATTCATTGACTAAACACAGCAATACTGTTAGTTGAAATTTACAAAATCTTTCTCTCAAAACAATTTTTCAGAAAAATAGATTCACTGTTATGACTATTCTAGTATTGATGGAGTATTTGCTTGAAGCTGTATGGAACATCAATATCTTGATTATACCACTGCTTTCCCTTCAAGCACTATGTTTTAGCACTATGTTGTAGCTTTTGGAAGCCTTCAAGTGATGTGGTTTCTATTATTTGGTAAAGGTCTTTGAGACTTTGAATCACCAGTCCATGAGATCTGATGCCGATTTCACAGGCTTCATTTGCTAGAGGCTATTTTTAATTAAAGATTTGATAAAATTATTGTATGCAACTGACAATTTAGGCTTTTCAGAAGGAGTTAGATGCCATGCACGAGTGCACATCTTTTCACATTTGTGATTGTATGTGCACAGAACATAGCCTATGAAGAGGTTAAATAGATATATACAACTTTGTAGACTGATATAGTTTCTCTATTAGATCTCGACATTTAGTGGAGTCAGAGTTTGGAAGGCAGTTTCTGACTGATTAAAAAAAACAAAGTCTCTACTGATGCGACCATATGCTGCTCCAAGATCATCATAGCAAGTATGCGTCTACATGTATCATCTGTTTTTGCTAATATTTTTTTTTAGGTTTGCTCCATTACACCTCTCGATTGAAAGCAACTTTTAAGTAGCAAATTTATCTTAATTTGATAACTGCAATACCTTTTTGTTTCTTGTTTCAGTAAAACTGAATTTATCTAACTGATATCTTATGACCAAAAATGCTTTAAAGGCAGGTGGGATATAAGTATATGGTAGGTGTATGTGTGTGTGTATATATATATATATATATATATATATATATATCGAAATGAAAGAAAGAACAGATGGAGTAAAAATCCACTGTTCATAGCATTTACTTTTTAAAAGTTCTCAGTAGAGCAATATACTATTATTATATTTTTATTATAAGAGATTATAATAAAAACATTTTGAAATCACTACACAAAAGCTTTCATGTTTCAATGCATTAATTGTACTTCTTCGGGCAATGGTAACTAACTGGTGATTAAATGATTAAGGAAATTTAAAAACAAAGTGTTGCCTCTTTTCTGAAAGTTAAAGTTTCTTTTAATAAGGAATTAAATATATATATATATACACACACACACACACACACACACACTCACTCACTCACTCACTCATGGTGCAATGGATAAATTGTCATCTAAATTACACAAAAATGAAAATGACATCTAATTTTAAAATTACCAAAATTACACAAAAATATCTTGAAATATTAAAGAGTAAATTTATTCAACAAAATTAGCATTGGCTTCAACAACAGCCTTTCTGGATGGTCTCCTTATTTAAGTTAGTGAATGCTGCCATAATCCTTGCCTTCAGCTCATCTTTGGTCTTACAAGTAGTTTTGTTGGTCTCTCACTAAGCTGCAATGTACACATAATAAACAAAGGGGTTGCAAGTTTGAGGAATTAGGTGGTCAGATATAAGGGGTGATGTGGTTGCAGAAATTGTCTGACAGCCATGTGACATGGTCCAGAGTCCTGTTGCCAGACATACGGTCTTCCAGCAGCCACCCTCTTGACCCAGGGCAACACTACCACCACAAGGTACTTGATGTAGGCCTCTGTGTTGAGTCTGAGGCCCACACCAACAAATTTGGGAGCTCTTTTCTTATCAAAACGAGTGAGTTTTCCAATCTGCTGTACCTTCATAATCACCATTAGATTCATCCAACTCTTTCTAAATCCTTGACAAGAAGACCCCAACACTCTGAAATGTTCATATTAGAACTTCTGGCATGAATGCCAAGCAGTACAGCATGCCATTTTCAAATTTCTGGTGAGTGAATTCCATCATGGTACTATTTTTCTTACAGACGGTGCCCATTTGACCCTACTATACTGTACAGTTGACAAACAACGCAGACATGAAATTAAAAATATAAAATGTTGACAATTTACCCATCACGCCCTGTGTGTGTGTGTGTGTGTGTGTGTGTGTGTGTGTGTGTATATATATATATATATATATATATTTCTATATTACGTATAGTTGGCATGTTAAATTTTAGGTTGACCCCTTCCCATGTTTCTTCCTTACACTTAACTTTTACTTCCTGCTTCCTCTACGGATGTGAATTCCATATTGGGGTTGAAAAGACAGACAACCATTTGTATCATCTGTTGAAATAGCCTATTCCCCACATGAGGTAAAAAGAAATTCTTTGATTATTCGTCACATTGTTCTATATAAATAAAATACATCAAGCTCTTTTTTTGTGGATCAATTTTAATATTTTTATATTACTAGAACCCAAATGGATTATACATGCATGGAATTTATTTCACCTTTACTATATATATATATATATATATATATATATATTATGTGTATTTAGGCAGCATTTTTTCATTGATGCATGTTTCATTAAATAATATAGAAGTTTTGTCTATTTATTTTAAGTAAATTCCTTTCATATTGTCTGATAAACTTAATAACATTGTCATTGAAAGAAGATCACCATATTGATACATGTTTTAATTCTGTCTAAGCTTTTGGTCAACATAAGCCATTATCAAAAAATGACAATTACATTTCAAAAAACAATTACATTTTCAATATATTAAACAATAATAAAAATTGTTAGTCTGATTCGTTGTTGCAAAAAAAAAAGACTTCATTATTGTTTTGACAAACTCATGTATATATTGAAATGTAATTGTCAATTTTATAATGGCTTATGGCGTCCCACATAGATAGGATTAAAAAAACATGTATTAATATGGGATTTTCTTTCATCTTTCAATAACAATGTTATTAAGTTTATCAGACAATATGAAAGGAATTGTTTTATTAAATAGACAAACTTGTCTATATTATTTTATGAAACATGCATATATATATATATATATATATATATATATTGTGTATGTGTGCAATTATGATTATTAGCCTATCAATGTTTTTTCTAATATAAAAATCACTCACCCCAACTCTCTAACTACCTTTTTCATTAATAGGCACAAGGCCATTAATAGCTATGCAAGTTTTAATGGAGAATTATTGCTATAAGCTTTTTTCATATTCTTTTTCCATTATGGCTGTTTTAACAGCTACAAACTCAAGAAAAAAAAATCACACTTACTAATATATATATACTTTTAATTGACAAAGTTCTTTTTTTTTACCTTTCTTGATTAAAATGTTTCTCAGATAAAAAAAAATAAGCACTCTGTTGTTAATAAACTGTTAACACTTTATGTTCATAAAAACTAAAAACAGAATTAACCTACAATGGGGCAATACCAAGTAACCCTACTTATAACTGGCAGATGTTAGAGTTAGAAATAAAAATTTGAAACTTAATGGAAAAGAAAATTATTTTTAGAAAAATAATGAAAATATGCCTTGATATATGAAAACTTGCCAAAAGTTAAATCTTGTGAATAAAACAATTTTAGCTGAATTTATTTAACCAAGCAGTAAATGTCGGCATTAATCACAAATATGTGCCTAGTTAAAAAAAAAATTTTTTAAATAAAAGCAATAGGTAGGGAATGTATCAAAATTCAATCATAAATATTTCAGATTTCACAAAAAAAAAATTTCAATACCCTTAAGTAAAGAGTAACAGGTTGCAAATAATCAGCACTTGATTTATTTTATAACAGCTGGCTCCAAATTATTTTTAATTGACTTCAATGAATAAAACAATGTGATTATTCAAATAAATTTGGTCTAGTCATATAAAATTTTGTAATGTCTCCATTAGAATCAGAAAAAGAGAGGGTTAAGTTACTTGCAAGTTCATTTCCTACTTGTTAGAAATGAGTAGACAAGTGAACTTTCAGATTTTTACTTTTTTCTTTTCAATTCTCAGCTAAATATGAATCAGAATTTCAACCATCTTAAAATATTTATACTCCTTCCAATATTGGAACAAAAAAAAATTCAAAATTGAGGTTAAATTATGTTTTAATTAAAAAGTGACTAATAAATTACTCAAAATGTATTTTACTTTAAGATTTTATATAGCAATATGTTTTGTTATGATTTTAAAGGTCTGTTCTTTACAATTTTATCAATGACATTCATAGATTAATTGGTAATAAAATAATTTTTTTTTAAATATTTTTACAGAGACTTAATTTTTATAACTTAAGAAGCTATCTAGCAATTTTTACAAGGCACAATGTAAAATATAAAAAAAGACTGTTAGCAAATTGAAACAGTTTTTTCTAATTTTTTTAAATGAAAATTAGTACCATATAAAGGTTTGTAAAACAATGCAAAATATTTTATAAAAAATTGATGTTTTTCATTTGTTTTTTAAAAAAAAAAAAAAAAAGGTTTAATCCACTCAAAATTTGAAATAAATAAGTAATAATTAAATATTTAAAAATTTTGAGATTTTTTTGTTTTTTTAAGTGTGAGCAACCTTGTAAAATGGATGGAGAGAAAATGGCAGTACACAAAATCATTAAATTCAATATTACACATACAAAAATAAATTAAAAAACTATTATTGTTGTTGCTAAATACATTTATAAAAAAATTGTTAACATTCTATATTCCAGTATATAAAGATGACAACCCTTCAAATTGGTATTGAACTATAAAGACTCTTTTGAATCTGCAGGAGTTTAAAGTCTAATATTCTTTCATGAGCAGAATGATAAAAAAGGCATATCTTTAAATCTAATTTCCTGCTTTGGTTTTATTTATTATAATTATTCGAGAAAGCAAAGCACTGTCAATGTACCCAGTAAAATGTTACTTTCCTGGTATTAGATCATAATGACAGAAGAAAAATGTTACTGGGTACATTGTAGTAAAATGTAGTGATGAAACGGAGAGCTGGAGTTATAATGCATTATTAAACTATTTAGATGCAAAAATGAAATTCCTCAATTTAAATAAATTTTATCTGCTTTTGATGGTAATTTCCAATTTAGAGTGGAATACTTTAAAACATTGATGCTTTATATATTGGAATATATAGCAAAAATAAAATAAGGAAAATGAAATAAAAGTACCAAAAAAACAGAATAAAAATAATAATTTTAAAATTCAAACTTACCATCCAGGGCTGGCCTCACAATGAGCATCAAGGAATATAAGTACATCCCCTTTAGATGCTTGAGCACCAGCTACACGAGCCCGGATCAATCCAGAACGTTCTTCTGTACGCACAATTCTAACTATATTATCTGGCCAGGTTTCTGCTATATAATTTTTTAAATGATCTCCAAGTTCATCTACAACAAAAAAAAAAAAAAAAAAATTAATTACAAACAGTATTAAAAGACTACATTTTGCAAATTATTAAGTTATCAAAAGTTACTTCCAGTTTTGTTATTAGGTAGCATTAGAAGTGTTTAATTTAAACTAGTAGCACCAAAATTACAGTACAACAGACTCTTGAATGATCTGAAATGCAAAGCGATATAGACTGACAGTGTTAAAAGTAAACACAATAAATTAAATAAGAACGGAAATTCAAAGTGGAACACATTAAGTGAAATCAGCAAATAATATCCCAAGGAAAACAAGGAATGGACGTCAGATGAAATTCTCAACATGAAGAAAAGAAGTCAGCAAACAATGCCAAGGTATGGTACAAAATATAGTACATTACACAAAGAAATTAGAAACAAATTAAGGTAAATAAAATTAAGAATGGCTCAATGAAAAGTATAGAGATAGAAAGAAAGAGCAGATATTCATAAAAGAAGAGAGAACTAACAGAACAAAAGCTATATTCATCAACAGCATTGGCCAAGATGAACAGGAACAAAGCATCAGATGGAATTGTAATAGAGATGCTGGCAGCCTTAGATGATTTTGGCATTGACAAAATTACAGACTGAGGCGAATAAAGAAAACAGTAACCAGCGAGTAAATTCAAGCTCTCCCAGCTGGTATTTCAACCTTGAGTCGTTCTTTCTTGAGTTCTGTCTCAAAATCACACTAACTGCCCGTTCTAAGCCGTGAACGTCCCTCAAGAACTCTCCCGACTGGGAAAAAGTAGTTGCTTTTATAGTTGTTCATATACCCATAATCCCTTGCATCTTCATGTGATCCCATAATTCATTGCGTCCATGTCCCATAATGCATTGCATCGTTATTGCATAAAAATACAATGTCAGTCCCCCCCCTCATTCTTTTATGTTATCTGGCCGAGGATGGATTACGGCAGAGCAGTAAGTGCTTTTTTTCTCTCCCTCATTTCAACTGCAGTAGCTTTACATGCTAAGCAAATACGGGCTCTTTTTTGGCGGGGACAAGGCAAGTCGCGACCAGTTGGGCTCGTCCCAGGTTCTGTCTCATGTCCGCCACACAGACAGATATCAAATATGAAACAATGGAGATATATCAGAAGACCTATGTAGATCCACTTTCATAGTGCTACCAAAGAAACCAGGGGTAAAGAAATGTGAACTCCAATGGACAATCAGCCTATGTCATGGGGTCTACTTCTATATCTTTACCTATTTTTTTTTTAAAATCATTTCACCTTAAGCAAGGCAATAATGTCACTAAGAAGCAAGAGGTTACTGGGAGTAAAATTTTCCAATTAATAACATTGGCAATCTCTTTACTTTTTTCTTCTCTTACATCCCATTCTTATGAGAGGGCAGTATTGCTATTTACATTTCTACATCTATTGGCACTTTACGATTGTAAAACCTGTTTAAAAGTATTTCTCTTTAGAACCAATATAAATTTTGTCCTGGAGGCCATCAAACTCAACAGTCACCTTATAAACTATATTATCCCTTCTCATTAAAGGGCACTAATAAGGCTTTCTGCAGTCTAATTGATAAGAGTGAATCAATCTGTTCTCAATACATGATAATAGTCTTTTCTTAAGCAAGAAAGAACAAAAGTAAGTCTGAAAATATTCTTCTCTGAAGAAGAAAAGGACCCCCCACCCCAAAAAACTTTTTCAACAAAAATATGTTCTAAATGCCTAAATCCAACAAGACAAGCAGAAATTGTACATAATAAGCAAAAGTATATATACATATATATTCACATACATATATCTCCATCCTTAAAGTTTAACACTATAAACTAATCTACAAACTCATGAAGACATTATGGATTGAAGATATCAAACATCTTACCTCGAGTGCTACAGTCATCTAATAAGATTACCTCTTTGAGATATTCAGGTGGTGATCGATTTATCACACTGTGAACAGTTCGTACAAGTGGTGAAAAGGCTTCATTGAAATAAATAATAATAACTGATGCCTTAGGAAGGTCTTTTTGGATATTTTACTTTTTTACACCTGAAAAAAAAAAAAAAAAAATTATTATATATATATATATATATATATATATATATATATATATATATATGTGTGTGTATGTAAGATAAATCCCTCTTCAATTTCAAATAATTTGATAATTTCAAATATTTTTTTTCGATAATTTCTGAAACAAGTTTCAGGATAAGCAGTAAATCTATTTAGTCAATTCACCTTTGTTTTGCTAATCTCTTACAAGGACAAGAGGAAATCCCATACTGCTGATTTAGAAACAAAGTGATTGATAATTAATTCAAATCCCAAAAGCTCTTCAAATAATCTAATGTTTAGACTTTCAGCAAATTCTGCAAAGTGGGTCAAAATGTAAACTTTTCAAGTACTATAATATAGACACTGTTCTTAACAGCTTCAAGAGTGTTCAGAGTGTTCCTCAGCATGTGTGTTATATGGTGTCCCTTCCTTCCCCAGTCTTGATCCACTAAAATTGTACAATAATTCCAAATGAGTAAAGCAAATTCATAGGCAACATTGGTTTGCTGAAGTTTTGTTTTTTGTAATCTTGTTTGTGGCAATCATATTAGAGAATTGTAAGGAGTTTGAATTTTGTCATATTTGACCCACCAAAACATGAAAATGACCAAAGAAACACATACCTATAGACACAATCCTATCAATACATTAGAAATTCTCTCAAAACTTCTTACCTTAATCAATCATAAGTGAAAAGTTGCCTTTTTTCCAGTGAAAAGCAGTTTTTATTTTACTAAAATAATATACCAACAAGCAACTGGCTCTCATGACTTTAACAAAATTAAAAACTGTTTCTTTTCAAAAATTAAATAGCTTTGTTTTTTTTTTTTTAATCATTTCACTTCAAGCAAGACAATAAAGCCACTAAGACAAAGAGTTAATGAATGTGAGGGAATATGAGGAAAAACATTATTAAGGAGAGAGAACAATAAAAGAACAGGAATTAAGAAGACATAAGATAACAATTGACATTGCATTTACATTTCTGAAGATCAATGTTAACTAGAAAGCAAGAGGATTGAAGAGAGTCCCACAAGTGAGAAGTACAAGAGAAAAAAAAACTTAGCAAAAAAACTTAAGTTATATCTAGCTGTTACAACTGTAAAATGATGAGACTTTACTCCAATCTAGTACTTTGCTTAATTTCATAAAGTCTACATACCATTCACCAGAACAATAACCATGAAAGTATTTATAGAAAAGGTACAGGGAAGCTACATTACAGTGGTGGGAAAGTGACTGAAGCCAAGATGCAAGGTCAAGACCAATAACATTGCAGATTCTTCTTTGTATTTTATCAATAATCTCTAAATACACGGCAGAAACACCAGACCAGATGTGACAGCCATATTGAAAGCATGGATGAATGAGAGATTTATAAATGTGTAAGATTCTAGCAAGAAAAAAATGTCTAGCATGACAATGAACTAACTTTATCAACAATTAATTCAATATAATCTCTCTACTTCAAGTCAGTGGAAAATGTTAACCTGAAAAGGTGCAAAGAGTCACTTTCCTGGAGGCTAGCATCCATTGCATGAATTAATTATACAACCTACATACTCAAACCTTACTTCTTAAGCAAAGATTTTCAAATTCTATCATTGATAAGTAATCACAAAAATATTTACAAAAATGCTAGTCATAATACAAGCTTAGTGAAAAGTTTCATTTTGGCCTTAAGTTAAACTAAAGTATAAGGAAGGAATGTATATATCACGCCACGCTGGCCATTATTTTAGTGCGTGGAACATTTATCTGATACACCAAAATGGAGTCTATGAAGTGGCAATGTTTTTAATAAATGTCTCTGTGCTTTTCAGTGTATTTATCTGTATTGGTGAGTCCCAATTTTGTTTGGCAAAAGTAAAAAAGAATGTTATCATTTTCCAAGAATACTTCAAATTCTTGGCCCACTCAACACTAATTCCTTGACCAATCAGCTACACACAGGTGATTTAGCTCACTCACAGAAATCAGTCTCTTAGGGTGTGATACTTTATATATAATTTTCTATGACCTTGTATAGGAAAAGAATTATTTCCCCCATCACACTGAAAACATAAACATATACATTAACAAAAAAAAAAAAAAAAAAAATGAAGTCACTATTTGCTTAAAAGAAGCAAGACATTCTAAAGCAAAGTTTTTATGCTTTTGTTTATACAAAGTTTCAAAAATTGTAAGCATCAGTTTCCTTGTGGTTCAGATTTTCCTTAAAACTACTTTGTTGCTCACATTTTCTCAGTATTCATCACTATCACTTCAAGACTTTATCTGCATGGAGATTGTTCAGCATTCGCTACCATATAGGTTAGATATTACATAGCAGCTCAGTTTTCTTGTTAACAGAAATATTTTCCTGGTTTAATACTTTGTTTAGTTTCTGAAAAGCAACTTTCACTTTTCCTATGCACCTTCAGATTTCTGTGTCACACTTTCCATTGTTTCTCAGTCTTGCTGACAACCAAGTATCCTGTTCCTTTAAAGTTAATAGTTAGTAAAGGAAAGCAAGAAGAAATGCCTATCTTGTCTAAGAGTTATTTAAGTTTTTTTCTCCGGAATCTGCCATCAGAACAGTATTAGAATTTTTAGGTGAGATTATCCATGACTCTCCAGAGATGCCTTTTCCTTATCTGTGAATTAAAATGGTTTGAAATTCATTTTCTCTTATACTGCTTCCTATCCAAGACTAGATAGCCCAGTCTACTCTACTATTTCCTGTATAATTAGTGCTATTTCCAAGAGCATATGTGTATGACTGAATGCAATGGACTTGCTTTGGATTTCAACTTGGATTACCAATTCTACTTTCTGCATCGATATCCATTACCTGCAACAACAACAACATTCATAAATAATCCTTCAGCATAAAATTAGGACTGTTTGCATCATTTTAAATGCTCTAGACTGGTCAAAAGCTGTATTTAAACAGATTTGATTTATAGCAATCGTATATTTATTTGTACAAACTGCAGCCCACATCTGTATTCATGGTTGTTTTCTTCAGGTGTAACAGTCTTAAGTTAGTTTTTACTGACTTGTCTAAATCAGCAAAAATTGATTCAAATTTTCTTCATGTTATTTCAGGGTAGCTAATACATAGAAAACAAAAACTTTGTTTTGGGGCTTGACATATATTTCTATATATTATATATTGCACTATCATAACTAGTGGTTTCAGGAATGAATACAGGAGAGGTAACATTGTTGATCAACAAGTCAAGCTTTGCCAAGTAATTTGAAAACAAAATGAAGTTGAAAAATGTTTGTTTTCAGTGAAACCATTGCTTGGCAGAAGAGCTGCAGGTCAAGTTAATAGAGAATTGCTCAAATTTCAAAAACCAGAACAAGAATAAAGTTGAAAAATTGTTATATATATCAAAACAAGACTGAATTCCTGGCTTTAGTTAACTTTATTCAGTTGCAGTATTACATCTTGATAGAGTAAATCTTTAGAAGTGTAAAACTATATATATTAGGGAAAGACAAAAACAATTTGAATTAAATATAAAAGTAAACCACAGTTTAAGTTATTAATAATGTTTTCAGAAACTTTAATGTTTTTTTCTTTGCAATATTAGACTGTCTAAATTCTAGAGAAAATTTGAAATTTACATGGATAATTTTAGTGTAAAGGACAAAAGTAAAAGATAACATTGAATTGGTTACAATGTTATGACACCCAAATTTTCTACAATGACACTCATGCATATCAATATCTTTTACAAGATAAATGCCACTGTTACCATTTTACCTTCTTCCTTGTTTGCTCATCTCACTCCTAATGGTAAGTCTATTGTTGTAAAATTTCAATGCTTCTCAGATGAAGAGAAACCTTTTATTGTCCCTGAAATGAAAAGGCTGATGAAAGAAGGGATAATAAAGTTCAGTAAGGCTCCTTGAAAGGTAAAAGTTTTACTCTATTGTCCTCATGTTTGTCACCAAATTTATCACAACATTTCAGCCGTTGTATGCTCTGGCCTTCTTCAAGTAGTTGGAATGTTGAACTGAACCCTTTATTTCGCTCATTGGGGTAGACTGTCCTAGTACCATGTGCCATGTTTAATGGATGCCAGTTATCAGTTATCTCCTGTTAATTCCCCTCTCCAAGTTCCCCACTGCCTTAAACACACTCTTTGGATCCTGTCACTGAATCTAATCAATGCCTTTATCCACTGTGCCATGTGTCCTTGAGGACATCTGTATATGAGGTTCTGGGTATTATAAACCTAATACCATCAGCAAAAATTTTTTACCAGTGCTCATATTGCAATTTTTGCTGTTATCGCTTTTCTCTAGCACTCCTTATTACTGGTTCCCATATTATATTCATTTCTATGCTTGGTCAGCTCAGGAGATTTTTGTGGCCTAGCATATGTGTTGATTGCTTAAGTTTATGAATTTTCTAATGGTGTTCTTTGTCTATGATCTCAACCTGATCCCACAGAGGGCGGTGATTCTTGAAGCCTTACCTTAAGGAGCCTGTCTTCCCTTTATATTTCTTTCCACAGCTGCACGGGATAGCATACACACAGTTTTTAGTCATGTTCTCCTCTATGGGGGGGATTACTCAGGAGAGATATCTGTGAAGTGTTGTCCAGCTTTTTGAAGGTTGTCCTGATGTTATATGGACCGCAGATCCTTTGTATTTTCTCTGATAACTTCTTCACATAAGGCAGACAGACTGTTTTCTGAGTGTTGTTATCCTCCTCTTGTACCCACCTATTTCTTTTGGGTGGGGAGGGGGCTGCTGCCATGTACCCAGGGTAGTTGTTACATTGTGGGGTACTACTTATACTGACCAATTCTTTATCTAATGCGTCTGTGTCGCCACTTATGACTTTTGTCGGTGTTGTAAGCAGTGGACGATCCCTTTCTTTATGTTGTATGGATGGTGGGAGTTGAAATTGAGGTACTGTCTGATGACACACATTCACCACAACAAGATTGCACTTTAGTACTCTGAAATTGTTATTAAATAATGTGAACAATCCTATAATGCTTTCAAAGTTAACAAGTATCTTTATCACTTTTGTGTTACTACAGCATGGAAAGCTTCATAACAATTTCATCTGAAGAACCAGAGGTCACTCTCATTGATTTAAATAATGTTACCATATGTATCAAAATTTAATTAGGAAACATTTAAGAAAACCATGAAGAAATACAATTTAACTCTTAATGAGGCCTTGGATAATTCACTAGTCAGTATTCTATTTAATT